ACAGTTATATACTACAGTTTGATTCACAGAAGCAAATAAACATGCAGTGTTCATACTGATTTGCTTACTTATATGGTATATCTCTGCAAAACATACACATCAAATGTTTCTAGCTTCATGGGACTTCTTTTAACATTTTTGGTACAAACTGTGAGCCATCTCAAAGTGCTGAGTGCCTGAAGCTGCTGATTTTGTTCTTTCCAAGTGACAATAACCTCAACCTTTCATATTAAAATAGACTTATATGTAAAATATGTCTCACACACAGACACACACACCCTTTGTAGATATTTATAGGTGTGTTTTCTCTATTCTAACCCAACAACTACTCTGATCAGCTAAGCTGTGACAATATCAGTGGGCACCTTCAAACATGCAGACATAGTCTCAAACAATGTCCTTACAGAAAAACAAATGTTATAATTAAAAGCAACTGGCCAACTGTTAATAAACAGTAAAAATGTTCAGGAAATTAATTCAGCAAAATTATTCCTGTTGAGCACCAAACAAAAGGAAATCAAGCCAGACATGGCAGCACCTCCATGGGCAGACAACAGATGTGCATGCTTGTCACAGCATCACCTTCACCTTTCTGCTCACACCACTCGTAAAAGCATTGTGTCCAACTGCTCCTCTGGAATATGGATCAGTATGTTTTGTAGTATGTGCAGTCGGCTCGCCCTTCACACTCTGTTAACTGCCACACAACAGACTGCGCTCCAACAAACCCACTGCTTTTAAACGACAAACTCCAGCAAGCAGCCATTTGGAAAGGCTGTGGAAAAAACCCAACAGTAATTACATAAACAATCCAAATGCTGATAAAAGCTCTGCTGGGACGATGGGAAAGGGAGAGCAGCTTTGCTTTATGCAGAACAGAGTTATTTCACATACTGAGATTTTCTCCACTCTAATTCCATTACAGGAACACAGTGTGATTAAACAACTGCTTATAAACAAAGAGCATTTCTTCAGTGCACTGGTACCCACATGTCAGTTTGGGTAGTGGTACTCTAAGAAACCAGTGCGTGCTTCATGTTCTATATGGCAGAGACATTTTTGAAAGGAGTATGCATATGTATGAAATGGGCCATGCCTTCCCAGAAAACCTCTCAGTACATAATGAAATCCAAGTCATAGACACACATATATATACAACAAAATAAAATTCATGAATAAGATTTATCTTATAATAATGCACAAGACTACTCAAAGTCTTTAATATGGATGTTTGTCTAATGCAGGAATAATGTTTAATGTTTTTTACTTCATAAATGGTTGTCATAACTGAGGAGGACTGTGGGAGTCAGACTTTTATGTGGAAATGCTGCAAAGAAACCACGACTGACAGAGACGAAGAGGAAAACAGGACCTGCTTAACCCAAGGAATACACATAATGGATGCAAGACCAGTGTTGATCACATGGGTCACAGTGTACTACGAAGCCAGATTAATGGCTTTTTTGAGCTTAAAGTGAGACTCTTTTTGCGTGGCTAAACCGCTGTGGTAACAAATAATGCGGTTGGGAGTAAGTTATATTTGGAGTTTTGATTTCAAAGCAAAAGCAATCAATCTCAGTTCTGACTGATTCTTTTACTTAAAGCATGTTTTAATCACAAAATAGAATATTTTGTGAATATTTTGTGATACTAAATGAAGCACAAACTATGTGTCGCATATCATATTAATGTTAAAGCTTACTACTTGACTATAATCTGCTGCTAAGTCTATTTTACGCTGCAGGAATTG